CTCAGCAGGACTTGTCCCAAGAAAACAGGTACAGAGTTTTGCTCTGGGAGAAAATAAATGGGGGAGGGGGGACTCTTTGCATTCCTCCTTATAGGAATCAGTGGCTTGCTATAGATTTATTGAGCAATTTATGCAGCTGAGAGTCTCTGATGGATGTTGGAAATTGACTTCGATCTTGACATCAACCAAATTAGTGCAAACTTACTTAAAAGTTACTCAAGTCTCTCCTGTCCACCAACTTCAAGGATTACTATCTGGGGGAGAGGTGTCACCCCAAACACAGTTCAGTATTTAACATGTTCAAGCGTTGAAGTTTTTTTTTTTTTCATTTAAAGCAGATAACTGATCAAATAAAATGTTATTTCAAGAGTTATTTCAGCATTTTGAGATTATTACCACACTCCCTTTTGTGGGACAATTGACTTGAATGGCCAAGAAGAGAGGGAGAGGAAGAGAAATCATGACATAGAAGTCAATGCAAAGAAAATGAATTGTGGCAGGTCTCATATATATATTATGACACTGAACCACAAATAGTGGGAATAAAGAGGTGACTTCAGTTTTCATTTATTTCTGTACAGTTGGACTCCTGTCCTTCTGGAATCTGAGAGGGAGCAAAGAATAGATGGGATGGGTAACGGATTGGCATAATGGTCATTCTCCCCATAAGGGCAACTTTTACTTTTGGCACTGGAGGCTTCTTACTACCTTATGATTGTGGACAAGGAAGCAAGAGGCCCTCAGCTTTTACAGAGAACTGCCATGTATACAAAAAAAAAAAAAAGGAATTAGAGCTCCAATGAGGCTTAATTTTAATATTGGTTTTGGTAGCTTGATCTTGTTACTTACCCAAGGTAAAAAAAAACACGTGTCTCTAGTGTGCTAGAATGCAAATCAAAGAATGGTAAACTCTGATTAACCACTAGCCAGTAGGGATGATGGACGTTGTTGGGGGGGGGAGAGCCTTGTTAGTGTAAGGTGGCAAAAAAATAATATAAGGAGTCTGACAGCATCTTTCCTGACTAATGCATTTCATTAGAGGTCATTAGCTTTCATGACATGCAGCTCACTTAAAGCTCAGGCCTTTCGGTGAAATGCTTTCAAACACTTCAGAGGAGCATCAGGTTGGGGAGCTGTCCTTTCTAGGTTGGCAGATGCAGCGTTGCACCACCATACCGTACTGTCTTGGGAACCAGTCCTACGGGATGAAGGGGCTTCGGCTGCTAAGCAAGGAGTTTTTGCTGTTAATATTCTCCTGAATGACAATTGCAGCTCCTTGTGTGCAGCAACTCACAATGGATAGAAGCAGGGGATTGAAAGGAGTAGGGGATTCCCACTCCCCTGCAATCAGTTTAAGCCCCTCCCATGTGTATCAGACACATTTCCTGCTACAATTGTAGGAACACCGTCAGTCTGAATTCTGCCTCAGTTTATCAAGAGAGTCTTTATTTCAGAAGTAGGTTCCCTGTTTGCTCTGCCATTAAATAGACAAATTAGCTATCGCAGTTCAGTGATAAAGAAGAACAAATAGAAAGTAAAACTAGAACTTATAATCCCCTCACTTTCTTATACATGGCAAGAACCTGATCTGGTCACACCCTTTCTCTTCTACTTTCTCAGCCCAAGTTAAATATTAAGTTCCCTTAAGTTTACATCAATTTAGGTGGTTGTTTTATAAAAGTTATAGGCTGTCTCGCACTGCCCATTATCTCAAAAATGGTTAATATATTTTAGATCAAGGCATTGCATGAAGCCAACCATGGTAATTAATGCAGTGCATCCTAGAAATTCCGAAAATAGTGTTGAGTAAACCATTGTTCAATTAACCTTAAATGTCTTGAGTAACCAACAGTCCTAGTTCAGAAGAGGACAGCTGAAACCCAAGGAATTAACTTTGTTCCTCCAAAGGCCCTAGGCTCATTCAGTTGCTCCAGAGCTTCAGAGAACACAAGAAACCTCTCAGCAGGACTCCCAATAATAATTATGCATGGTAGTCAAGGAACAAGAATCAACATAAAACTGGCAACTGATCATATCTATGAAAATCAACCCATCCCAGAGTTTTGGGGCTGAGCCAGTAAGAGGCCAAGTATGGTTCTAGGCACCTTGTGCCCTAAACCAAGGCCCACATTTCTGACTCTCCATTTGGCTGGCAGCCACCATATCATGCCATTCAAGGTTTTCTGAGGTCCAGTCCAGGAGTGGAATTCAAATTTTTTTACTACCGGTTCTGTGGGCGTGGCAGGGGAAGGATACTGTAAAATCTCCAGTCAGAGGTGGTATTGGCCGGTTCTCCAAACTACTCAAAATTTCCACTACCGGTTCTCCAGAAGTGGTCAGAACCTGCTGGATACCACTTCTGGTCCAGTCCCTTATAATTTGGTCCTAAACACATTGACTTGGAAGCAGGCAGGAGAGATCAAACAGTCCAGAACAGACCAGAAATCCAAGCAGCCTTCTTCCAGCTCCCATGTCAAAAGATGCACACCCACCACCTGGCAATTTCACTGCCTTCAGAGAATTTGTGATCTTGGGCTACATTTTACTTTGTGGCTTTTCTTTGGCAGTGGCACATTGGCATGACGGAACTAATGCACCATAAACTTCCTTCTTTCCATTTCTATAGCTGCTCATCACATAGGTCCACATCATGGGGGAGGGGGAGAGGGTTGCATCCTACACTGACCCCTAAACTCAGACAAAACACCACATCCCATTCCCCAGCACTCAGTCAGAGTGTGTTGGATGAACCTCACCAGTCGCTTTTGCATCTGCAGTACTATCTAAATCTTGGGGAGTGGGTGGAACTTGCCCACAGCAACCTCTCAGCTGGGAGAAAGTTAGAAGATCCCAATAAAGTGATTAAAGATTGTTGCCATGCTCCTTCTGCCTCCTCACTTTTATAGTTTCAGCTTTTAAGAACATGGAAAAACAAACAAACAAGAGTTTCAGCAGTCGTATTGTGGCTCTTCGAAGACCCACGGTTCTCCAAACAACATATCCCACTTTCTCCATAGGGAGGTTTACTTTATGCCGGTAGTATCTGAGGAAGAGGATGGGTTTTCAACTGCAGGTGTCATTTTCTTCCAGGACAGAATGAAATGCACCCATCAGGCATTATTCTGGGTTCGCGGCTATACTAACCTCCTTCCATCTTCGCGGAGATGGGAAGGCGGACGAATGGTCCTAACTTCGGACAAAGGTTCCACACGACCTCCGCTCCTTTCCGACTCCCCCTCTCCCTCACTCCACAATGTGGTTGAGCTGTTGTAGTTAATGAGAAGAGTCTTGTCTGATTTTCTATCTAATTACGGCCGCCTGCTGGGTTTTTGTACAGGATATTCGCGCAGCATGCTGGCAGTTAATAGTCACAGAGAGAATCGTAAAGATTTAATTAGGACTGCGCGCTTAAACGTGGAAAGAGGCATGCGCGTGCACGGATACCCACCCACCTAACACAAACTCCCACACACACACACACACACTTTTAATTGTTGGGTTTCTTTAATTGCAAGGGTTTGCTTCCAGATTTCCTTTCCAGAGGCACTTCAGCTCCCAGAATTTCCCTGGGCCTTTCCGGCTAGGGACGATGGGAGCTGAAGACCAAGCTGAATTGGGAAAGATTCGAGTGTTTCGCCCGCCACAGAACTTGATCTGTTTCAACTCCTGTTAAGAGAGGCCGCGAGGCAGAGAAGAGAAGACTGAGAAAGGTTGGAGCGGAGAAGAAGAGAGACATCACCACCAATCGAAGACATTTCTCCCCAATCGACTTAATAAAATCAGGGTGAAGGGGAGAGACTGAGGGCCAGGGGAAGCATCTCTAGCCCGTGGCTTCCTCTTGAACGCTTGCTCGGAAGGCAGCATCTTGTATTGCCAAAGGATTCGTTTTCACATCAAATTTGCAAAAGTGGGGTTGCAGCCTGATGCACGCTCCTTGAGCCCCGTGGAAGGCACGTGCCACGAGAACGCCCCGCCAAGGGATTTCTGGCAGAGGGAATTCCTGGGGCTACCCTTCCCATTCTCAACGCTAAAGAGAGCGCGGCTGCAAAATGAGCATTTGGCTCGAGGCTCCATCCAATTGGATGGCGAACCTGTCTCTGCAAACAAAATTGACTCACCACGAGAAAAGCCTAAACGCAAACTTTCAACACCATCTACTTGGGAAACAGGGCCCACGGCTGAAAACTGTGACGTGAGGAGTAAGCATCCTGGTTTCCCTTTCACCTTCTTCCAGGTAATAAAATTTGCAAGTGGAAGTGGCAAGCGAAGCAAAACCAGTGCATGGCTCACATGGAATTGTGAATGGCGATGTGTACCTGAGAGAACTATCCAAGGTTTCTAATAATGATCTCATACATATTTACCTTAAGCTCTCTTCCACGCACACAGACACACTGTCATGACAGCACTCTGCATGGGTATATATCAAACTCGATATCATGGATAAGTTGACCTTCATATTTTAATTAAAAGCCAGCCAAATTTCCAAAATTACAAGTATCTCCCTGGCCTTCATATGTGTTTGTGTGTGGATGTGTGTGGGTGTGGGGGTGTTATAACGTTCCCCCTTCTAACTTTAATTTACAAAGGAAATTATGAAACAAATACCAAGTTCCTGGTATAATGTTTGTTACATATACCCGAAGAGCCCAATCCTATATTTAGAAATAAGTCTCACTGAACTTCGAAGTGAATTTTTTATTTTGAAAATTACAAGAATTCCACCTAAGGACCGAAACTGTTAACCATTCGTGAACTCCTTACCGAGGGAATTCTGCAATTGTCTGTAAAGGATCCAACTTCGAATGGACAGGTCATAGTGGGATCTGTAGATGCAGCTAATTTAATCCGTTTAGCTAAGGCACCTGTCAATCTCACTTAAGTCTGAGTACTTACAGCACAATAAATGGAATGGTTGCTTCAAACCCATTAACACCGAGATACTTTAAAAAAAATAATCATCTAAAACAACTTAAAACCTGATCTCTCGAGGGGATAACGGAATGTTTGGACAATCTTGTTCTCCGCTCTTTCAACAGTGTTTTATCCTTACAGGTCAGTCATTGTTAGAGGAACCCAACTTCCACCGAATTGATGGGTGGAAGATCCTAGTCTATGATCTCAAAATGGGGGTGGGGGTGTGTTTTTGAGTCAATCTGGAGTTTTTGAGCCGACTTATAAAGAGCTGCTTGCCACTACTTCTCACAGAAAAATCCAACTTCTTTTTAAAAAAAGAAGAAAAAGACTGCATGACTACCGGGGCGACGTGTGGAGGGCCCAATCTTATTAACCCAAGACCCTGCAACTTACACCCTCCCCAGTCTTGATTACAGCAACCCACAGGCCCTCTTGGATCTACTCTGGGGCAGTCTCTCCGTTCTGCCACTCTAGGCACCTTTGGCTTAGAAGCCAGTAGCTTGGAACGCAATTAAAATCTCTCTAGAATAAGCCTGCAAGAAGCACGTGGCCAGGGGCAGAATTCTACACACCGGAAGGTCCGCCTTTCTTTCAGCAGAACAGAAAGTGATGGGCGCCGGATGCGCATTCCTCTCCTTAATTTCTTCCATCTCTACTTGCCCGATTTCTTTGGGTCCCAATCAGATACATTCCAATTCAGCCGACTTGAAGGGAAGGGAAACGAAGATGTATTTTCTTTCCATTTTCTCTCCCCCGCCCCCAAGCCAAATAAAGTCGTGTATAATGATATAGGAGACACCCCCTGGTTCTCCTTATCTCCATCCAGCTAAATTCTAAACAAACAAAACGCCGACTTAGAAAGATGAGAAGAACTATTAGAAGGGGAAACAAGGTATCGGGCAAACACCCTTTGAAAATGTAACCTTCCTTCCCTTTCTCTGCTTTTGCTCCCGAAAGTGATCTCTAAACGGGCGGGCGTGTTGATTTTCTACGATAATTCCTGCTAAGCACTTTCTGATCTGCAAAGGCATCGTTTCAGAAATTTTATAAGAAGTGTATTTCAAAATTAAATTGTCTTCCTTTGCAAAGGCACACACCTAATTGGGGAAGCAAGGGAACCATTGGTTATTATTATAATATCTATTCCCGCTTAGAGCGACGTTGGGTTCAACGACTCCAGATTTGGGACAGAATCTATGGTCAAAGTGGAGAGTCGGGTTCTTTTTTCAAGAAGGCCCTTTCTTGTGATCTGGCTCGGTTTCCTGCTTTTTCTCATTCATTCTGGCAGCTTTAAGAAGTAGAAAAGGGGAGGCTCCGTTTTCCCTAGCGGAGGTTGCCCTTCAGGGGAAAAGCCAGGATCCTGTCTGTTAAATCGGAGGAGCCTGCCTCAGGCAGTAAGTAGAAGGCCTAAATCCGGAAAGGGGTTAGCGGAAAACGCAGCACAAAACCACCCCGATTGCGGGGAAACGCAAAACCTTCGTGCATTCCCGCATCCCACTTCCTACAGGTTGAGCTGCAAAACATGCGGTGAAAAAAACACCCGTTTTTCCCATACTGTTTGCTCCTCAGCTTTTCACAGCTCCAGTTTTCGCTTTGGATGGTTATTTACACTTACACACACACACACAAAATATACACACATAGAAAGCCGGCAACGGGCAACCAAATCCAGGAGACGTGCTGACTCCAAGGCATTCAGCCGCCGGCAAACACACCACAGAGAGAGCGAGCGAGAGGTATGCCCAGAGTCCAGCTTCAAGGCCAACTTCAATTGAAGCTCAGTAGCTAAGAAGTCCCAAAATATAGGCTGAAGGCGACACCTTTTCTCTTTTCCTTCCCCACCAAAAGACACCACATTAAACACTGCCAGCTTCTTCGGTCAGGTTAATCTGTCCGGTTCTTCAGACTTATTGTATCTAAATTGGGAAAGTGGGGGGCGGGGGAGACAGACTAAAACTGAGCCAAGCCCCCAGTGCTGCGACGGACTGGGACACAAAGTCCTGGACTTTCCCCAAGCTGGCCAGGAATGTGCATCTTCCTGCCCAGCCTTTTCTCCTTCAAAGGCCCGGGTGTTCTAAGCCAGCCGAGGAGAATAAGCGGGGTAGGGACCAGCATGGTGGGAGTTAGGATCTCGCCGTTTCTTTGACCATCCTCGGGAGTCCGGAGTTGGCCAGCTTTTTGAGAGCCGCTTCTACTTAGAAATGAGTCCCTTTTTTTGCGGTTCGGGAAAATGTGACAGGGCTAGGCCTTCTAGGGCTGGGCAGAAACTTTGCTCACGCTGGCTGGGTCTGGCTGGATCTGGGTCTGTAACAAGGCAGCGGCAGCAGTTCCAGAGGAACCCAGTCGCGCCTCCGGCAATTGGCCGCCGCAGGAAGGCGCCTCTTGCAAACGGAGCCCGGGGCCCGCCAAAGTCCCCTGGGGCAGAAGAGCCCCTTTTTAGGCCACTTCGCCGGACTGATGGGTCATGGGATCCAACCCAGCCTGCACTGCTAACATCAGGGTGGCTTTCGAGCCTTCAAAAGGCTCGCGGGGGTTCCCAGAAACTCCGATGGGGGGGCAACGAGCCTCGCCTTAGCCGGTTCCGGAGCGCGATCCCCCAACGCCCCCCACCCCACCCCACCCCCAGCCCTTCCCGGCGAGGACTTACCTGCACATCCTCCATGCCGGGGTGTCCGATGCCGTGGAGGGAAAGCGCGTCGCCCATGCCGGAGTCCAGGCCATGGTGAGCCGAATGGAGAAGGACGTCTGGCCGCCGGACGGAGTGGTAGTCCCGTCGCGGGTCGAGGCCCGAGAGCTGCGGCAAAGAAGCCCGGGGCTGAGGCAGCAGCGAGCCGGCTTCGGAGCCCACCTCTTGTCGCTGTCGCTGCCCCCAGGGGTGCTGCTGGGGCTGGTGCAGCGGGTTCAGGGCGTAGGGGTCGTTGACGTGGGAGTAAGGGTCCTGGCTCTGGTGGTAAGGAAGAGGCTGGTAGGGCGGCGGGAAGTAGGGCGGCTGGAAGTCCGAGGAAGGGGTGTGAGAGAGCGGAGGGGCGCTGGAGTAAGGGCCTTGCGAGACCGAGCCCAGCTGGGACAGCCGGGAACTGTGGCTGGGGACTCCATCGTGCCGGTCCTGGAGGGAGCAGTTCAGGCCGCAGACAGGGATACAAACAAAAGAAGCAGAGAGAAAGAGAGAGGCGTTTTTAAAAAGTCGCCCTGTATGATTAAAATACAAGAACATCCTAAAGGGCTCCTGTTTCCCCCCAATGTAGTGACGTGCCGGTGATGTGCCACCCACACGAGTCAATCGAAATATTTCCCTGGGATTAATAAACCGTTTGTTTCTTATCTTCTCCGCATACATTCAGCTAGAATCATAACGCACCTAAACGGTCCTTTCAAGCCCAACCTTCAACTCAAGGGGGGGAATGAGCATGAGGTTGAGGAGGATGATAAAATGGATTTTTTTAAAAAAAAAAAAAAAAAGTTCACCAAAAGGCTTTTTCATTGTACCAGGAAAGGGTGATGACAACAATAATAACAACATTATAATGCTGCTTGAGCAAACTGATAGCGTATATAAAACCATCAATTGCTTCAGGGGAAAAAATATAAAATGAAACGAAAACGTGAGAAGAAATCAACAAAAGGGCCACCCACTCAGGTTTTGGGTGGCAGGACATATGACCGGGAGGCTATAATTCTAAGGGCAGGAAGATATAAAAACAGCATTAACCAAAGAAACTCAACTTCAAAAGGAAAAAAAATGGTCTGGTGGACAAATAAGTCTGTTTTTGGTCCCGATCTCTTTACATTCTCCTCCCAAGTTACATTTGTCTCTGACAGAAAAAAAAATTAAATGACTCCAAAAAGAGTATATATTAACGATTATCCCTAACGACCTGAAAAAAATAATTAAAATGTCAACGAATATTCTTATAACACTGGTACATACAATAACTGAAACAAAGCTGCAATTTTAGATTCACTCACACACACACACACACATACACCAGAAAATGTAGCTCCTTTTCTTAACAGCAATATCTCCTTCCTCCCCTGAAAAAGTTTCCCCTCACTGATTCCCCCCTCCCCATTCCCAGTTCAAATGAAGAACACACAATGCAAAATGGAGAAGCAGCTGCAAGCGTCTTCCAATTATTGTGCTAAATTACCAAGCCAAAGGCGTTGAGAAGAGAGGGAGGCTAAGAGAGACCGGGAGAAAGAGTGAGAGAGAAGGAATGAAAAAGGGGTCTAGAGGCAAGGGCAAGGAGAATAGGGCAATTTTAAATCATAACACAGACCCAACTCACCATAGCGGAATAGGTGTGGACTAACATCTGGAAATTTGTTTTAAAAAATCTTGAAACAGGTAAAAATAAAATAGCAGTAGAATACTACTACTACTAATAATAAATTAATATTAATAATTCTAGTAACAAGGAGAGGGGCGGTATCAAGAAAATCTGCAAAGGATCTTGGTGCACCCAGGAGAACAGCTGGAGGTATTTCCGAGTCTATCCATCAAAACCAAAATTTGGAGGAAAATATGTATGGAGGGTGTCTATGGTCACCTAGGAGCGTCCTCGTGTTGCCCCCCCCCTCCCCGCTTCCAAAAGCAATCCTCTTCAACCCAAGGCAAGCTTCAGACTGCTCCAGTGCCCCTTTCTCCTTTCCCTTCCCTACGCCGCCTCATAATAATTGATATTCATGACTATTAATATTACACAACTACTTTAAAGGGAGAATGCAAGACCAAATGGAGCGTGAAGGCTTTGCAGGCAGCTCGAGAGCTCCCCTCGTATTGTAAATGACGTTCATTCAGTGGAGAATTACTAGATGTAATCAGACGAGGGGGCTGGCGGAGGCAGAGTTGGGGGAGAGCGAGAGGGAAGGGACAAAAAAGTTGAGCGGGCAAGAGGCAGAACTTCTATTAATTTGAACAGGGGAAGACGTGTAAACGAGGTGCTACTGATCTAAAGCAAGGAAGTGATCTGGAGAAACGCTAGAGGCAAAAAAAGAAAAGAGGGAGAAAATCATATTTCCCTTCTCTCTCCCCCCACCTCTCGGTTTTTTATATTTAATTATAGATTCCAAATACGAAGGAAAATCGATTGCCCTCGGTGCTTTTGTTCTGATTTTTAAAGCAAATAAGAGCTTCTGCAATCTTCTCATTTTTTTTAACATTTAAAGGCAGCCGAAGCGATTTCTTTACAGAAGCAATTAAGCTTATGAAAAGAAAGGGCAAAAAAGAAAGAAAAAGAAAGAAAAGAAAGAAATGGAACTCAACCGAACCCTCCTATAAATTGGCGAGGTTTTGCAACGGGCCAGCCAGGGTACCTGAGCGGAGTTTGCGCCAGCCCAAGATACATTTACTTTGCCTCTGGCAGCTGCTGTGCCAAAAAGACGCCCAGCAACCACCTAGACCGAGCATGTATGCAATGATTTCAAAGAAAAACCAAATTTATAGTTCTCTCGCAAAATCAGAGGCGACAGAAAACCTTTCTCAGAGCTGCTGTCCTACCCTGGTAACCGCACCAGAGTTAAAGTTCAACCGAAGGCTGTTTCCTAAACGCCTTCTCGGTCGGCAAAGTTCCACCTCACTTTTCCGGAGAAACTTGGGATGCCCGAGTTCTGAAAAATTACCATTACTTTACCCCTATTTAATCCTGCATGTTAAAGCCCTGGCCAATTTGATGTACGCAGGGAAAGCGAAAGGATTCCCTACGCGAGGGTGGGTGCGTTTACACGCCCGGGCGGGCACACACACACACACACATACACACCTGTCTTCAGAGTAAATTAATGGCGCAGTTAGAAAACTCTAAAGGGAGCGATTTTAAGAGTCTTTCTGAGATATTTCGGTCCCTTTCTAGAATTGCCAAGGATCTTTCGATCCATCCAAAGTCAGTTCAACACTATTCGGGTGTGGGAAAAACAGAACGCGAAGTTGACCAAAAAGGAAATACCTCGGCGTAAACTTAGAAACCCTCGCTAGCCGGCTGAAGGATCCATAATTTGATCTTGAAGGGTGGCAGAAATGGAGAGGCAGAACCTTTTGCCTCGCCGGCTCACCTTCCCCTCCGGTAAAGAAAGACGCAGCTCACTTTGAACCTTGTCTTTAAGTGAGAGTCATTGGGAAGCGGGATGCCGAGGGCAAGAGCCCAGAGAGCGATGGGGAGGGGAGAGAAGTCTGCAGTTGGGGAAACGGAACAGAACTGAGCACCTTTGCCGGCGCTCCTTTGATCCCCGCCCTGAAGAAGGGCGCTTTAGTTTAGGAAGTCTGGAGAGGTGTCCCGGAGCAGCAAGACAACCGAGTACCGCAGCCTAGCGCCTTGGAGGGAGGGGAGGCGAGGCGAGGCAGTCTCACTTTCTCCCCAAAGTTTAAGCTTTCAAACATTAACTGGTAGGAAGCAAAAGCCGGCGACAGACTGACTTCATTCAGAAAGAAACGGTCAACTTAACTGGCCGGAGGAGACTCGAATCGTCCCGTTGCCTCGGGCGCGACGCTTTCTCCAAGGGAGCCAACTGGTCGCCCACCCGAAAGAAAAGGGGCTGGGGGAAAACCAACAACAACAATAACCACCCGAAACTTATTCGGAGTCCAAACGTTGGAAATTAGAGAGAAAAGTCTCTTTTCATCAGCCCGGAATGGACGTTACAGCTTAACCTAAGGTGGAACCTAAGCGCTTTAGGGCAAAATGGATTTATTTCGGGGCAGGGCAAACGGAACTGAATGGCAATCCTTGCCCGGTTCGGAGAAAGCCGGATTTTAGCGCCTGCCAGGTTAGGACGAGCGGTTCGAGAGAAAGAGAGCCCAAAGTGAAGGGGAAGTAAGCGAGCCGGCTCTCTCTTGTCTCTCGGGCGCGGAAGATGCCTGCCAAGCCAAGGGAGGGGAGAAAAAAAAAGAGAGAGCCGAGATCACAGCGAGGGCTCTTCTAGCGGGCGGTCTCCGGGGCACGTCTGGACTTGTGCCTTTCCGCCCTACTTCGCGCTGCCTCACAAAGAAAAGCGAGCCCCTTCGGTTCCGCCTTTGTGAAAATATTCAGAAAAAAGGAAGCGTGGCTGGCTGCGGTCTAATCGAATTCCGGTGGATCTAAAGCGAGCGCGGCGCGCTTTACCTGCCAGCTGAGTGCAGCGTGCCTGCCTCTTTCATCTCTTCAGAGGGAGAAGGAAACGAAAGCAATATATATATATGTGTGTGTGTGTGTGAGAGAGAGAAAATAAAGTTCCTCTTTGGATCTAAAGGCGATAGGTTAAAAGAAGCCTCCGAAATCCTTTCCCGCTTTGTCCCCCACCGCCCCGTTTCCCTTTCCCCGGCGCGAGGCAGGCAACTGCGCCAGGACTCCTGCAGTCGAGCGCCCGGCTCGCCTCGGACCCCGTTCCTCTGGTTTGCCTTCCCGAGATCTCCACGCCTGCCCCTCCGACTCTTGCCCGGCTCTGTAAATCTTCTTCTGCCCCGCCAAGGTGCCTCCTCTCTCCATACTGACCTCGTAGATGTCTTCGTATTTCACATTTTCCACCAGTTTCCAGAGCATGATGGCGGGCTGTCCTCTAGGAGGTGAGTGCATTCATGTGAAGAGCAGATGTCTGGATTCTCAGGACTTCTCTGTCTGTAATGATCCATCTATAATTGGAAATGGGGGACAGACACCAAATCCGACGTTCCTCTCCCATCGCAACTTATATCTGTTGTCTGAAACAATAGGCTGGAGCAGGAAGCCTCAGACAGAGAGGAAAAATCATTCCCATCTGTGGAGTTTATATAGAACACATAGACATATTGAACACACATAGATTATGCATATAATTACTCACCCACCCTTGGATACGGCTATATGTTCATACACCCCGCGCGCGCACACCCAGGCAAGTTATGAAAAAGAACGCTGGAGATATTTCTGTAGGTAAACACCCCGATGTGTGTGCACACGTTTTGCACAGACACGCACATATATAAATACATGTAGGTACACACACTCAAGGAAAGGAGCAAATGTGGATCTCAACTTTCTGACCACAAGGAGTGTGTATTGCACACATTTCACTTCTACAGATCGATTTGTTTATGCAAGTATATCCAGGCACGCTTTCAAATCATTTAACGGTATAAGTTTATATTATCTGTAATATGCACACATGTATTTCATAGGTGTGAAATTTACAACTAAAAAAAAAAAAAAAAAGAACCCACACACGCACACCCAGGCAGATACAACACCCAGAATTATTTGTGATGTAAATAGACAAGTTCCTCCTTTGGGGTGAGGTGAGAGAGAAACCGAGTTTTATAAATTCTGATTCATTGACAAATGCAAAGACAAGGGGAAGCAAAAGGGTCACAGAGGCGAAAACTGCATAAGTTTTACACCGCGTGTCCTTTCGTTTCAGACAGATTTGCTCTCTTTCCTCGGTTGAAAACCAAGGCAGTCCCAAAGACTAGGACCACCCTACTCTGGCCGTATTTAACCCAGGGGAGCTCATTTCAAAGAGCCCTCTCATGAAGCGGTTTTTCTTTGGTTTTTTTTCTTTCTTTCTTTCTTTCTTTTGTTTCCACACTTGCCTGGTCTTTAGAGCGGACGTTTAACGACCTGCACATTTTAAAACGAGCCCCATCTCAGCGAGACAAGCTGGGAAGCTTTCGCCCCTTGCGGAGGGAAAAAGACGAGCCTTGGCTGGGTGCGGGAAGAGGCCTTTCCCGCTCGGATTTCAGACACTTTTCGAGAGGTTTGCGAGCCTCCAAAGTGATTTAGGGGGAAGATTTGCTGCCTTAAAGCGCGCCCTTCTAGAGGTCCTTTACAAGAGTGAGCTAGCCGTCGGTTTTTCGCCTTCTAGGAAGGGGAAAGGGGTGAGCTACTCAGCGAAGAATCCAGGTGTCCTTGCCCGCCCCAATAACAGTGAGAAATCCAACTTTTTCTCTCT